TTTTTTTTTTTTTTTTTTTTTTTTTTTAATTTGTGAAACGTAGTTGTAGTTCATGATTTTACAAAAAAAAATGACCAACTTTTTTGAATTATTTAAAACATAATCAGAAAGAAAAGAAAAAGGAAAATTAAAAAGATTAGGTATATAAACATGTTTGCTTTGAATCTTTAGTGTATTAAGAAAAATATGGAAAAGCCTATCCAATTAATAATTAATAATAATAATAATAATGTTAAGATTAAAAAAAATGATCTAGTTGTGCCTTTATATTTTAATAAAATATATAGTAAATGGATGTATGATGGTGCATCTCACCTAAGAATCTCTCCTTCTCTCTCTCTAAAATTTTTAAAATACAAAAAGATAAAAATTAAAAAAAAAACCACTTTGGAGTATTTATTTCTTATTTAAAAAAGGTATTTATTTTGTAGTGCGTTTGGTATAAATTATAATTTATATTTAGCTTTGGTTACTGAACTTGAATATAGTTCAATCGACAAGACACTAAAATTAATTTGAATATAGTTGGATAGACCGCTTATTTATATAAACGGATAAAAAAAACATAATGGTGTCCACCTAATATAAGAACTCAAGATCTATTCCGAAAAATAAAATAAAAAAAATGGAGTCAACTTTTGGATGTAGCTTAGAATAATATTAAGCATCATTTAAAGCAGAAAAATAGTGCAATAAATGCAAGAAAATGGTATTCCATTCAATAAAATAAGCGGAAATAAGTATGGTATTTTATTATTTGATATGATATTCAACTCCCCATTGAGTTTGTGAACCAAACCAGATCACAGACAACTACGAATTAAGGACTTTGATTAGCATAATTAGAACCACTAATCATTCCCTAACCACACTTTTGAGTATTTTATGTGTGTTTTATCAAAAACCCATTTGATTCACGAAACAGAATGGAAAAATTGGAAAAACCCATATCCCAAATTGAAATCAAGAACATCCCAGAAAAGAAAGTTTGATTTTTTATTTTTATTTTTTTTATTTTGCATAAAATTTTGTTTATAGATGGATGTATATTAATGTTAGCTTTCCATATAGAACAAAATTGTTGCATGCAAGGTGAAGATCATTGGTTATTGGGTTTTAGTTATTTTACACTTGTGTGCATTAATTCTTCTTTCTTTCTCTCTCTTCTCTTTCTCTCTCCGTTAGTGCTTTGCTTGAAATGAACCAACCAGCAGCCTTCCTATCAAATGGGGTTCTTGTGCGTATATTAAGTTCGAGTTGCCGCCGCTGCTGCTGCTGCTGCTGCTGATCCTTCTTCTTCTTTTTGCTGCTTCTGAATTTGTGAGTATTTTTTTGCCCTCTGCTTTTTGCCCCTTTCTTCTTTTGTTCTTCTTTGAGCAAGGTTTTTCACCTTCACTCGCTGCTCTGCTTTCTTTTTTTTCTTCATTTTTCCCAACTTAGTTGTTTGTGGGACCTTTTCTCTTCTGGGTTTGTTTCATCCTTCCTTTAATAGCTTCTATTGATATGGGTTTGCTTAATCGTCTTGTGTTCTGCTTTTGTTGCTCTGTTTTTGTCTTATCTGTTGTTTTGGGGGCAATTTTGGCTGTTCATCTTCTTATTTTGTTTAATCGCTGCTTCCCAGATGAACTTCAATTTGTTTTGACTTGTTTTTCCCCTTAGTTCATCGGTTTATTGAGAATAGACTCATTGAGATGTTTTTTTGTTTGATGAATTGAAGGAATTGGGGCGTTGGAAAATGGCACCACAAACTGGGTATTTGAAAGAACATGAAGGAGTTGTTCCCAACTCGCTTGGACAGTTATCATCTTCTCCTGCTCGGCTGTGGAGTGGCTATGGGCAAGGTTGTCAATCATTC